ATGAATAAATGCGTTTCTTCTTTCTTTTATGTATCTAATCTGACGAGAAAATATCTTGGTCGAGATTCGTACGCGTACGTAATGGTTCCTACTAATCGTTGAGAACCTTGCTCAAAGCTTATTTTCGATAGCGACTCCGATCCTTATGCCAATGTTTCCTATGATATTAATATCAATTATTAACCATTAAATACGTATAATATTAATGAGTTTTTTAATATCTTCTGTAAAGAATAGCGGTCATTTTTTATGAGAAATATCAGTTCTAAATCAGTTTCCACTCTAATAATGATATTCATTATTAAAAATTAATTCATTTTTTAATAATTTTTTAAAGAACTAAGTTGATATTCATTCAATATTTTTTTTGTTGTTAATATCATGCGTTGAAAAATAAGGGCACCTAATGAGACTGCCAACGTGATTCAGTTGTAGAAAAATTCATAACCAAAGACTAATTATCAAAGGACCCGATTTCATTACTAAAGGAAGAACAATTCATAAAGTTACAACGTCCGTCATTAAATGAGACAAACGATTATTTGAGTAAAACATTTCGAAACATTATTCAATTGTTAAATCACATCTTCAATTCTTTCTTACAAGACAAATGTGAATATTTTCAATAAAAAATATCTCAAAATCTTCTGTTTTTTCTTTCAGAAAAGGGTCAGCGAATCCGTAGGATGAGCGCTACCTTGTATCGTAATGAGCAGAAAAGTGTAAGAACAGAAAATGAAGTTCAATACTACTGGCACTCGAAAATCTCATATTACTACTTCGCAAAATAAATATCTACTCACTTACGAGGGAACCGCACGAAGTGATTCGCCACTTTTGAGCTCATACTTCTGGCATATAGAGAGAACCTCTAGACTAACACAAACCTAGAAGAATTCTGGCTCATAGCCTTTCTGTCCTGAGATATTGAATTTTCATGTTAAAGAGAATATAACAATTTTGATCTATATCTCAATTATCTCGTAAACAAAAGTATAATCAGATCTGAACGTTTTGTGGTTAACTAATCTCATTATCGCCAAATCATTCTAAAGTTTTTAGATTTTTATCTCATCTCTATCCTTCATAGTATTTTTTCTCGTAAATGTCCGGGAGACTTCGAGTCTATAAATGAAGTTTGCTTCAATACCGATAATACTGTTTGTCAGCAGTCAAGCTGTTGCTTTTCACCTTTTATTCAATCCAGTGATTGTTATAAAGTACTCGGCTTCAAACTTTTTTTGGAAGCTTATCACTTTCACAACTAGCTATATACTGTTTATTCCTATAATCGTATACTTTTCAATGAAACGATTAGCACATATAAAAATTAGCTACATCATAACTGATGTTTACAAGAAAAATCATTGTAAATCATAGAGATGAGATAAAAATCTAAAAATTTTAGGATGATTTGGCGATAATGAGATTAGTTAACCACAAAACGTTCAGATCTGATTATACTTTTGTTTACGAGATAATTGAGATATAGATCAAAATTGTTATATTCTCTTTAACATGAAAATTCAATATCTCAGGACAGAAAGGCTATGAGCCAGAATCCTTCTAGGTTTGTGTTAGTCTAGAGGTTCCCTATATATGCCAGAAGTATGAGCTCAAAATCGGTGAATCACTCTGGGCGGTTCCCTCGTTAGAATAATCTTCGATTAGTTCAACAACATCTTCATACTCAAGTGATTGATTCAATTTGTTTTCTATTATAAAATGCTGTTCAAAACAATCTAACTTTCAAAATTTCGTCGAGGTCGTGTGAAGAAAAGGAAAATATTCTTAGTAATTGTCTGGGCGTCCAGAAGAGTTTGACTCCCTCCTCCCCTTGTCCGGATTTGTCCAGTTTTGCTGGATACCCTCTCCCTCTTCACCTGGACGTCCTTTATGGATGGCACCATAGCTATTTAAAAGTGGCGCCTTTACAACATTATCTAAGCTATTTAATGCAACTAGCTATTTGAAATATAGTACTATTTAAACATTATCATAGCTATTTAAAGAACTTCATAGCCAATTAAAACAATCTATACATGCTTTAAACTATTGACATAGCTGATTCATTTCTAAAAGTGTTTCTTAGTTTCTTTTTTTTTCTTGTTGTATGACTGACCATTTCAAATCCGTATATTTCTTTTTTCTTCAATGATTACCAAATCTTTTAAACAGCTGTAATAATTTTTTATAAAAACGGGTGGGCCAAAAAGAACTGCTCTCTCAGTATTTTTTAAATTTCTTCTCTATTATCCATGTGATTAAAACATTTTTTTAATCAAAAGATAGCGCTTGAAATTCTGCACAAGATAGTATATTTTATTTAACGAATATAGTTTCCTCCATTCTTTTGGATTAAACGTAATCGTGCAGTAAAATCAAGCACAGAATGTAAAATTTTTTCTTTTTCAATTTTTTTGACAGAACGCTTTATTTCGTCTATCAATGTTGTCTTTGTTGTTATGTTGTTTCAGTCCATAGATTCAGCCAATGCATTCCATAAACTATAATCTAATGGACATAAATCAGGCGAATTTGGTGGCCAACGATTTTTTGAAATAAAATCAGGAAAATGATCACGATTAGCACACCACTCTTGAGTCAGGTGATGTGTGTGAGGTTTTGCTCCATCTTGTTGATATGTCCAGTGGACTCCTAACATATTGTTGCCGCATTTACGAGCTACTGGAAGAACTTCTTTGATGTACCTTTCTGCGTCCATAGTACCATCTTCAAAAACCACTGGTGTTGTTAAACCTTCACTACATACACCAAGCCATACCATCACCTTTGTTGGAAATTTTGTTTTTTGATGTATACCACCTTGTTTATCTGCCTCTTCCCTACTGACCACCCATATACGATCATTCTGAACATTGTATACACCATCTAAATCAAAATATTTTTCATCGGTAAAAAGCCATTTTTTGGTGTCTTCCTTTGTATAATTATTGAAAACCCAATTGGCAAATTTAATCCTTTTTCTTTTTTGAAGATCAGTTAATTTTGGTTGTTTGATTTTCTTCTATGGAAAGCAACCAAGATCTTCGTGTAATATTCGCCGTACACTTGTTGAAATATTCATGTCAACAGCTAATCGTCTTGATAACACCCGTTTTTTCTGTGCTAGACGATGTTTAACCTTTAAGATATTAGTTTTCGTCCGAGCTGTGCGTGGACGACCGGGAGAATATGATAAATTGATGGATCCGGTTCGATTGATCATTTGAATCCATGATTTAATTGTTCATAATGAAACTACTCCACCTAAATCACGGTAAATTTTTGTTGGTCCATCACCGTTTTCATATTTATTTTTTACAGCTGTTTGCATGTCTTTACTTTTCATCTTTTCTGAAATATATTTAAACTGACTTTTAAATCCAATCATACATATTTTTGTAGAGAATTTCAGACGCTATCTTTTGATAAAAAAAATATGTTTTAATAGAAGGGGTAATAGGAGAGAAAAATAAAAAATACTGAGAGGGCAGTTCTTTATGGCCCACCCGTTAGATAACATTCTTTTAGGTGGTGATCCTGCCGGTGAATGGAGGAATAGGAGCAAATGACTAGGAACAACTATAGGTGATTCCACCGTCTGGATGGCAGTGGATCAGTGGGCAGGCCGTGTCCTTCACTAGGGCAACATCAATTCGATACCCATACCCATTGGCAAGGCACTTTTTCATAGATATCCAACGCTCTGCACCCCATTGCCATACCAGGGCTGCTTTTGCTACATCTTGCATGTGTGACAGACTCTAGCCGCTACTGATTCTCACTGCCCAGGCAGACAACAAAACGGAAAAAACGGCATTTAAACGTCTCAACATCCCGACGGTTTAAACAGTGTCATTAGTGGCCAAAAACGCGTTAAAACGGTTTATGAAAAATTAACTTTTAATAAGTTTTACATGTTTAAACGCTTGGAGTCATTGAATTTGTAACTGTTTTAACGCGTTTTTGGCCACTAATGACACTGTTTAAGCAGTTGAAATAATTTCCGTTGTCACGCCTCTTAATGACCAACAAACGTTTCATCTAAACGATGATGCACCAACAATTTATAATTAAAGTCTCTTCCCATTGATAAACTGATCGATTATATTCAAATTATCATTAGATTAATGTTAAATTGACATATGTTTATCGTTTATACTTTGAAAACAGCACAGAGAACTTCTCTCTCGTCAGTTCGTTTCTTTTTATGTTAAGAGTAAGTTTACATTTTACTATTTGCTTGTTGATATTTTTTTCTTTTTGTTTTTTTCAATTGTGGAAAAAAAGATAAAATGCGTAGGTTTAATCGAAGAGCATTAACGTCTTGTCATTCCATTCCACTATTAGAAAAAACAAAAAGAAAAAAAAACCACCAAGTAAATAGTAAAATGTAAACTTACTCTTAACATAAAAAGAAACGAACTGATGAGAGAGAAATTCTCTGCACTGTTTTCAAAGTATAAACTATAAACATATATCAATTTAACATTAATCTAATGATAATTTGAATATAATCGATCAGTTTATCAACGAGAAGAAAACTGAATTATTTACATTCATGTTTCAAATAAGTGACGGATAAGATAGACTGATGAATAGATTTAAAATACTACGACTAACACAGGAATTGATGAAAAGGCAAACCACGAACTATCTAACCAGCTTCTAATATAAGGAAAACTACAATCGGAACTATTATGGTAGGCAGATGTTCTTTTCAAGTATCATTAATAAATTTAACTTCATTTCGATCAAATTCTAAAGTATCAAAGTTCGGAGATATGATATAACTAGAAATGTCATCAATGCACTACGAAATCTCATAATTACAGTGTGTATTAAGTCGGTCACGAAATTGATTAAGCCACACCTATGCACCAGAATGCTATCTGTTTTTTCCTGTAGTGACGATATTTCTTTTAAAGCTCATTCATATTTCGATGATTTAAAATTCCCTTTTCATCGAGTAGAAAACTCAACTGTTTCAAACGTCTCATATGTCACACGTACTCGTGATGAACATTCTATATGAAACATTTCAAGTGAGGAATATTTAATGGACCCTGCTATGTTTATCATCTGCGAGCGACTCTTCTAGTTGTATTGTCATCGGTATCGCACATATTATGTCTAAGTCAACACTAACCTAGTGAATATTGAAGTATTTTTTTACAGAAACTCACTATTAATAGCAATGTAGTCAGTGCCCTATTCTTTCTCTCATTCTGAGTGATTTCCGCTGAAAAGAACTTATCTAATTCGAACATATCCAGTCTTACACAAAAGAAGCATGTGCCATTACATATAGTGAATTTAACATTAATTTTAAGTATACGTTAGAAATAAAATGGCCTACTCAGTTAGGCAAGTACTCTATGAACGAAACAGAACACAAATGAATTCCAAATGAAAAGAACAGGCGAATAATCGGGCGAGAGAGTGATAAAAGAATGACCTCTTTTTTTTCTTTCCCTGTGAACTGAACGGACGGAAAGAAAAGACAGAATGGAAAAAATTTCTTGAAGATGTGGACTGATGATAACTTCGTTTCTATGTGACGATGATAACTAGATGAAATATAAAGTAGTCAAGTTTTGGAACTTTTATTGAAACAGCTAAACTCTAAGTCATTTTTTAATTATAACCTATATGAGAAAACGATAACTTGTTTATTTTGGTTGAACATGATTGTTGCTCATACGTACTTGCACTTTTAAAAGAGAAATAGAGAAGATTATGATTATCATATAATCCAAGGAGGAAGGAATCGTTTATGTTGTTAGTATGATATATTAACATGTAGTAACATTAATGATGATTTCCTCCTTCCATTTAGTTTTTGAACGTTAACAATATTTGTCTTCACTTATTATAATTCACAAAATACAACTGAGGTAGAATTAATCTTCTTAAATGTGCAGTAAAATAAACCATTATTGGTTAAGATGATGTTATAATATTCATTGAACAAATCAGTATAACGTTAATTGTCCACACGCTGATTGCTAAAGGTATTCAGTATGAGATGTGCTGCATGCCTATTTCTGTTAAGCAAATCAGTTTATGACAGTTACTCTGCAGCAAATCAAAGATAAACTTTGTTACATTCTTATTATATATTAACACCGAATAATATTTGTCTTAACGATTTTCAATTAAGAGTGGAATATTGCTGAGTAGATATACTGACGATACATCAATAAAGAATATGTAAACTCACTAGGCGGAGTATTTTCAGTAAGATTGTTATACTGCTATCGATTTTGACTTCGACTTAATGGCAATAAAAAAGTTTTCGTGGTTTAAATTCCTACTCATTAATCATAAATATCGGACCTGATCTTTTGCTGTTTATTAGTAAAAGATATATATTCTAATCATCAGTTGCCTGTTACTAATAAACAACGAGCCGTAAAACTTACTACTTACTAGAAAGTAACCAGACTGATTA